TAAACCCTTAAACCCTAAACCCCCTAGACCCTAAAGCCCTTAAGCCCTAAACCCCTAAACCCTAAAGCCCTAAACCCTAAACCCCTAAAGCCCTAAACCCCTAAACCCCCTAGACCCTAAGCCCCTAAACCCTAAACCCCTAAACCCCTAAACCCCTAAACCCTTAAACCCCTAAACCCCTAAACCCTAAACCCCCTAGACCCTAAGCCCCTATAAGGCTCTTCCTTCTCCTGACCTTCTTGGTGCCGGCTCTGAGCCTCAGCTTCTCCGGCGAGACCTCCGCAGCTTGGCTCCGTGCTCTCAGACGTGACGAACCCCGAAACCCCAAAACCCCTAAACCCCCAAACCCCAAAACCCCTAAACCTCAAAACCCCAAAAATCCTAGGATGTTTTTCGATTTTTGTTGGGTGGTTTTAAACCCTGGGCCCCGAAGTCCTAGACCGATAATCGAAGGCTCCTTTTAGGTAGCACTAGGGAGCCTTCTTGACCCTACTTATGGCTCTCTTAAATAGGACCTTGTTGGAGAGGGCCCAAATCCCCAAGAGTCGCCCTAGTCCTAACCTCCTGAGAGACACGGGGTTTCCGATAATAGGGGACTCCAATATAGTACCCTAAATAGTAGGATTCTTATTATAAGGACCCCTAATAAAGGTACCCCTAATTGTCGACAGCCATATAGTCACAGCTGTAGTCTCATAGTAAACCCCAAAACCAAGGATCCATAGTTCTTAAGACATCTACAAACCCTATATTCGCCGTGCAAAATGCCTCATCTTAACGAAAGGCGAGTCGAGGCCCCCCAAACCCAAAACCCTAAACCCGCCCTCTAGCCGAGACATGGGGCAGACGAAAAGCAAAAACAAAAGAAAAACAAGAGAAACACTGTCGAAGAAGCCCCTAAACCCTAAACCTTTAAGGCCCCCTAAACCCTAAACCCACCCCTTGAAGAAGTGGCCGAGGAGACTTTGGTGACTCTGGCTAGTCTGGTAGCCTTGGCCTTCTCGGTCTTGGCCCTCCTCGCGTCGCCTCATGGGACCCTGGGCACTTCTTGGCTTAGGGCTTTAGGGTTTTTTGGGTTTAGGGGTTTAGGGTTTAGGGTTTAGGGTTTGGGGTTTGGGGTTTAGGGTTTTAGGGCTTTTTTTCTATTAGTTCTTAGGGTCGTTCTCTAAATTCGGATCCCTTTTTGGAAGTCCTGTTTATAAGGGTGCCGTACTGTTTTTGGTGACTTAAAAAAAAGGGGTCCTAGCCTAAAGAACTACCTAAAGAGGTTTAAGGTTCCGAGTTTGGGGTTGGTCTTCATTCTTCTTGGGTGTCTACAAGCGTTTTCTCGGCTGACGGTTTGTGGTTTAGGGGAATCTGGGCTCTTACCAGGGTTATGGTTTTGGGGTTTCGATTTTTAGGGGGTTAGGGTTTAGGGTTTAGGGTTTAGGGTTTAGGGTTTAGGGTTTAGGGTTTAGGGTTTAGTCCGGGTTCTGGTAGGGTTGCTGACGGGGTTAGTCTCAGGGGTACTAGTGGGGTTTCTGTAAAGAGGGTCCATTCCAGCGCCATTGTAGTTGTAGGCTTCATAAAATCAACGAAACGGAGCTGTAGTATGCAACCTGCTCTCCGCATTATGGCAGCCTTGAGAATGCTCCCTAAACCTTGATACGTAAACCCTAAACCCTGAACCCTGAACCCTAAACCCTAAACCCTGAACCCTAAACCCTAAACCCTAAACCCTGAACCCGAAGAAGAGCCCAGGAATGAATGGCCATGCCCAGCTTCGCCCAGTTGGATTTGTCGGACCTGGCCGGCTGTTTCCTGCTTGCCGCTCCTTTGTGGCTTCTTGGTGTTCTTCCGGTTTAGGATTTTGGGTTTATTCAGGGTTTTGGGTTTAGGGTTTAGGGTTTATTTAGGGTTTTGGGTTTATTTAGGGTTTATTTAGGGTTTTGGGTTTTGGGTTTTGGGTTCTGGGTTTAGGGTTTAGGGTTTTAGGTTTAGGGTTTAGGGTTTAGGGTGAACCATATTAAGGAGACTAAAACTTTAATTTCTTGGAGCGTTCAGAAGTCAGCCAAGGCTTCATGGCGGTCCTGGCAACGAAGTCATGTACTCTACGCCCCGATGATCTCGCACCTGGGTTCTTGTTAACCCAGAAGGTATGTAGTTGTAAGAAGTCATAAATAAAGTCATAAAGTAAGCATAATTAGTCAAACTGATTAGTGATTATGTAATCTTCAGTACTTGGTTTCAAGGTCCCTAAACAGAGCTCAGGTGCGAATGCTGCTACTGCTGGTAATGGCTTTGCTGCCAGTCGCCCTTAGCTCCAAGCTCGAGGACAGCATCGGATGGACAGTGCCAGATGTAAACCCAGCGGCTTACATCGAAGTGACTGGGCCCCCCGCTGGTTCCCAATTGTTGCTTAAGGGTTTCCAAAATAGAGTTGGAAATAAAGCTGGCGCCCTTATTATGAAGGGGGTACTGGGGAACCCTAAACCCTAAACCCTAAACCCTAAACCATAAACCCAACCGAGGTGAACATCACTCAGCCCTTTCTGCACCTGAAGTCCCATGGCATACGCTGGCTTGAGCTGCCACAGCCAGTTTGGAGGGCAGAGATTCCGTCGCACCTCTGGCTGCCTCGAGCCAAGTACTGGATCTCCCTGATGCTTCTGAAGCTGGGCTCTCCTTAAGGAGCCTGCCCAGAGAGCCCGATACCCCTTAAGTAAGGAATATACCTTAAGTTATAGGAGCCTTAATATTATGATTGAAAGTATATTCCTTAATTAAGGGGTATTGGGCTCTCCTTAAGGAGCCTGCTTGAAGATACACCCTTAAATTCCGCAGTAGCTGTGCGAGTACACTTTACACTTTTCGGGATTATATGATCCCTTATAGAACTGAAAATGTACACTTTTGGGGGCTTATGAACTCAGCAACTAAGAATTCCTTATTATGGTAAGTCTGGTAGCTTAGAGACCATGCTTCCTAACAAGACCCTAAACCCTAAACCCTAAACCCTAAGCCCAGGAAGTACTTCGTGGTGCTCGGGCTCTCTGCCGTACTCCTGTGCTTTGGCTCCTACCACAAGCCGCTTCCGAGGGCATCTAAAGCCTCTACTCTCAGCCTGGAGGAGGCCTATGAAAGGCTGGGTTCTTCTTAGAGTTCGTATCACTGCTGTTATAAATTATACAAATAGTATTCTTATATTGGTATTATTACTCGTAGTACCATTATTGCTATGACTATTATCCTTATTCTTTATTATTATCACCATGTTGTTAGTAGACTCAATGTAAGCTACCAGAGCAAAGAAACCCTATTATTTACTACAGATCCCTTCTATGGTAATTTGAGTTCAGCTCCTGAAAAAGAACCCAGAAGGGCCACTGCTGGCGCCAAGTCCGGGAAGGGGCTACATGGAGTTGTCTTCTTCTGGGCCCTCTCCAATGAATCTCGAAGTCTCCTTTTGTCGGTGCTCCTGCTGTGCTGGCTGATCTTGTGCTCGAAGTTGACTATCTCGGCTAGCTGGGGAGGACAGCTGAGTGCCGATGGCATGTCTTGGGAGGCTTGGGACCTTCTCTGGACGTGTGGGCTTCTTCTTTTTTTCTTGCAGGCACTGGTCATGAGGTTCAATAGCACTTGCAGCTACAGCGCCATGGATGTTGCTTTCTCGTCTCGGGCCCTCTTTCCCTTCATGGGCGATGGCTTCGACGTTGTGAAAGATGCAATGCTTGCGAGCATGGTGATGCAGTCGGAACTTCACTGGGTCAGCTACTTAGGACAGGGGCCTGAGGCAAACAAGAATGGAACTCGGGGTTGTGGATGCCGTGCGGGGTCCAGAAGAACTTAGTGTTTTTTGCTGCATTCATTGACTTTGAAAGTCTGACTTTGCTTTGGTTGTCCTTAGAGGATACATGGGCCTCGCCTACGTCTGGACGCTGCACTTCTATTGGCTTTGGCCAGGAGCGTCGGGCAGAGAAAGACTGGATCGGAGCTACCTGGCCCTTCTCTTTCTGAAGCCGCACGAAGTAGATGATAGACCAAGCCTCTCAGAACGGGCGTGTCAAGCGGCTTATGTGGAGACGGAGCCTTCAAGGCAGAAGGCCGTGCTGCTGGAGGATGCTCCGCAAGCGCTGCTGGAGTTGCTGGCTATGGGCATGACGAAGCCGTTTCCGTTAGTGATGAACCTTGTGATCCCCGGCCTCCGGCTACTGGTCGCCACACGGTTTCACAACTCCATCGCCTGGCAAATCCGCAGCTGGCTGCTACAGGAAGCCCTCGGTTCCTCGTCATCCGGGGACCGCTGCGCAGAATCGCTTTGCAGGCTAGAAACGGTGCATGGCAAGCTTTGGGAGAGCTTCAACGAAGACCTTCGGAAGAGTGCACAAAGAACAGCCAAGAAGTCAAAGGAGCCGACCCTAATCACGGAGTGGGTGAAGCTTCAAGAACTTCAAGTGATGACGCCAGAGCTAGAGCTCTTTCCAGACGCTCCGCTGACGCTTCGTCGCCTTCGCTTACAACCGGCAACCTTGAAGACTCCAAGTACTGCCCCAAGTACTACGTGCATTGAAAAGTGCATGAGGCCTCTACTGATCGACCGGGACCAGACTGAGAAAGGGCTCCCTGAAGCTAAAGCTGACAGTGAAGTCCTTCTGAAAGTGCTCACTTCCTCTCCGCTTTTTCTGCGGGACCATGGTATCGCTGCAGTGATCTCGCGCTTGCTGCGCTTGGGCCCGGACTGTAGAAAGCTCCGACTCACCATGCAACTGGCTGGCAATGTGGGGATTCTACTTAATCAAGATCTTTCTTGTGGTGTGAAACTTCAAAGCTATCCCTAAACCCTAAACCCTAAACCCTAAACCCCTAAAACCCTTAAGCTGTACACCCCAAAGCCCCCAAAGGCCTAAACCCCTACAGCCATAAACCGCAGCAACAAAAACCTACAGTGCAGGCACGGCTTTGAGGCAAAGCGGCAAATCAGCGACATCTCAGTTTCTTAGTGGCTGAGTAGGTAACCTTTAACCTTTTGGGGCTCTTATAATCCTACTATAATTCGAAAGGTTAACCTTTTTTGGGCTAGGGTACTCCCTAAACCCTAAACCCTAAACCCTAAACCCTAAACCCCCTGAGAGTATTGGGTGTGTCTTTATTGAAGCTCAGCCCCTAAGGTTTTGCCAACTCAGTGCTTGATCGCCTTACTCCAGGGGCTGGGAAAGAGCTCCTCGCTTCCGGTCTGCTACGGTTTAGGGTTTAGGGCTTAGAGCTTTTAGGGTTTAGGGCTAGAGTCTAGCGCAGAGTTGGAAATCATGAAGGACCCTAAACTGTAAACCCGCACGGGTTCACATAAGGGCCTCTACACGTGGACCACATTATATTAGGGAAACCCTCGGAAATGGTATTACTAATGCTTCCTGCCTTGTTATGCAGAACTTACGTCTCAGAGCTGTGAGCTTCTGTGTCGTTGTTTTTCACATGTGTTGATATGCACGAGTATGGGGGTTTGACAAAATCAGGAACCCTTACAATAATATAACATACTTTAATACACTACAACATAATCCAGTTTAATATAGTATACTATCATAGACGACACCCCACGAACCGTTGCAGAAGCTTGCAAGCTTGAACACAGGCGTCTACCTTCGCACAGTCATCCTCGACTTGGCTGAGATGTATCAAGAGACAGACGTTTCCAAGCCCTTCCTGAAGGGGCTAAGGCATCTGGTGGAGGTGACGTCGTTTGCCATTCAGTGGATCGTCCCTTCAAACCACCTGAGGATGCAGGTAATGTAGGGGCCTACATAGTTACCAATACTATTTGGGGGGTTCCTTAACTATAGTATAATGGCCCGCAAACCCTATTCTAATCATTAAGGCCCCTATATTAGGTAAGGGAGTCAGATCAGAAGGCTGCAATGTTTTCTCTGAAGGTCCGGCGGAGTCCAGACCCTAAACCCTAATATAGCAGCCTAAATAATTATCTATGCTGTTTTAGAGGTTCCTTAGTGTGGTTATAGTATAAAATACCCCAAAACCCTATTCTAATTCTTAAGGCCCCTATATCAAGGTGACAGAGCTCGAAATCAACTTGCGCCATACGCGAATGGACGATGCAGGTTGCCATGCTCTTGCCGAGTCGCTTTGCTGCCTGCTTCAGCTCAGCCACCTGACGCTGGGACTGTTTGTGGTTTGCCTTCTTGCTTATCGTTCAGGATTCGTCTGTTTTTAGGGCCCTAAACTCTAAACCCCTAAACCCTAAACCTTCATGTTAGATGGTTTTTATTGCCTTAAAGAAGCAGCTCCTCCATGCCTTGGAACCAGTGGTTGCCTACCAATCTTAAGAACGAGCAACCTCTTGCTCTCAAAGCTAAAACCTCGACCATCTAGGAGACTGGATCTCAGTGGGAATTATGATTGGGTTTAGGGTTTAGGGGTTAGGGTTTACATCCAGGAGACTGGATCTCAGTGGGAATTATGATCATGATCATCGGCTCTCCAGCCGTACCCTGCGCATCTCAGAGTGCGGTCGTTCTGCTATCATTGAGAGCGTGGCAAAGCTACATGGGCTCAAGCGGTTTGAGCTCATCTGTGATTTGAAGGATCGCTACGAGGTCCGCGATACAGAACTCGTGGAGTACCATAGTAACTTGGCGTTGTTTTTGTTGGCACTTAGGACTTTAACTTTTTTGGGCTTCTATATGAACTATAATAAAGAAGGTAAAAGTTCAACTTTTAGGAGGGGTTCAGAAGTCGGCCAAGGTAAGCTTCGGCACATCCCCGACGTGCGAGTCGAATACGCGGAAGCGTGACATCTCTGGAGGCGCTGGGGGCGCGGGCTCAGCCTGAGGGTCCAAGTGCGCTGCCCATGATGTTCCAGAAAGTTCATATGTGATCTAAAATAGAGACCTAAACAACTACCAAAGCTCTTCCTTAAGGTTCAATTATTATGGTTATAGTTTTCTACACCCCCAAAAGAACGATTCTAACTATCAAAGCCCGCAAAAATTAGGGCTGAGACATCTTTGTAATATTGTTCCTTACAGGGTTCCCGCGCTGAAGTTTGGTTTATAAGATGTGAACCCAGAGGGCCCAAAGCCAGTTTTGATTTGTTTGTTTTCAGGTAGACTCCTTAATTGAAATTGCCGACAAACCACTTTCTAAAAAATCAGCAAAGGTCCTTATAAAGCCGCCCTCTCATAATCCGTAAACCCTAAACGGTAGATTCCAGGAAACATTTATTAAACATACATGTAGATACATAGTTAGACAGATAGATAGACAGATGTGTATATACATATATATATATATATTTATTTATTTATTCCGTAGTACTTAAAGGGATGTTAGACCCCGGGAGTTCTTTGACACAACTCAGTCCGAGAGCTAAAGCTTGGGACCTTGACATTGGGATGCATATTCCGTGCCCAGCGCATGGGCCTTGATTGAAAAAGTGGCCCCTCGTAGTAACCCTTATAGACCCTCAAGAAAAGAGCCCTTAAATGGAGCCTAGTTGTAAACATTTAATTACTACTACTATTTTTGGGGGGGTTCCTGACTATGATTATAGTATAGTATACCCCAAAACCTTATTCTGACTACACTAGCCCTTCGTGACTCTCTCTCTAGTACCCACTTTGCCCGCGCCCTTGTGCTTCTTTTCTTTTGAGACTCGAGGATGGCCAAGGCAGCTCAGACGTCGTGTCCAAACTAGTACTTAAAGGATCATGAGACTTAGTAAGTAGTGTTATAAATAGGGTAACTATACTTATAACCCCAATTAAGGGACTTATAACCTTACTTACTAAGTCCCGTGATCCTCCAAGTGGAAGGGCCCAGATTGTTACCAATACCCTTTTCGGGTTGCCTATTCTGACTTTGGTGTGGTTATACCCTAAAACCCTATTCTAATTACGAAGGTCCGTATATTACCTGTTCCTCAGTCAACATCACTGGCACCACACCATCCTCGTATTGACAGCTGCCGAAGTGATGACAGGCATCGTCATCACGATCACTACCAGCACCATGGTGATGATGATGGTGACGGCAGTGCTGATGATGAAAATCGTGACAACAACGATCGGGTTGCTTACTGCCAACAGCGCAACACTCGGCATGATGCTAGTGATGACGATGATGATGATGATGGTGATGATGGTGGTGGCGGTGGCGATAGGTGATCAGGATCAAACTGATCCCGTGTGACACATGCAGAACTTGCCTCCTCCAAGCCCCCTCATGTTGTGCCAATCTGAGCTGCGAGCCGTTTGTGCTTTTCAATGCAGTCCTGAAAGGACGCACGGCCAGTTTTCGACCGCCGGAATGTGCGTCTCGCAATTGGCGCATGCCTCGTGCCAGCCCGACCGTTCGAGATGCTTGGTGCTTGGAGCTGTGAGTCGAAAATGCGGAATTCACATGTTCTTGGAGGTTCAGAATTTTCGGGGTACCTTTTGAGAGGGTCGTTACGATAAGGATCCTGCCCTTAATAAGCTGCTTTTCTCTGCGAGATTACTGCTCGCTTCAACACACCGTACATGTGGTGGTATATCGTCGGGCCTGTAACAAAAACAAAATCGACAGCCCTCAGCGCTCCGCTGGAGCTGTTCTGGAGATGTTCGGACTCAGTGGAAGTGGGAGAGTGCGCATCTTGAGATGTTTGTTGGCTTAAGGTGCTTAGGAGTGAGGGCAACCCAAAACCCCTACCTTAAGAACCCAAAACCCACTTTTTTGTAGGTTCTTATTATAAACCCTAATATGGGATTTATAGGGACCCTACAAGAAAGTAGGTTTTGGGTTCTTAAGGCAAACCCTAAACCAAGGGTTACTTTGGGGCTTCTGCTTCAGAGCCTGGGCCCTGGGTTTGTAGTTTCCCGTTTCGTTTGGTATAGGAGCCGGATTCAGAAGCCCTTGGCCTTTATATTTGGGCTCCTTCTATGAACCCTAAAAACCTTGGGGTTCTAGGACCAGGGTTTCTTAATCAGGTTCCTACATACGGGTTAATATAGGGGCCTCAATAATTACCTATACTGTTTTGGGTGGTTCCTCATTATGTTTATAGCATAATGGGCCCCAAAAACCTATTGCAATTATTAAGGCCTCTACATTATGAAGCCCCAAGTGCTACGAGGCCCTTTAGGGTTTGGGGGTTAGGGTTTAGAAGCCCTTGGGACCAAGCCCTTCAAAACCTGAACCTTAGAGCTTGTTTAGGGTTTCGGGTTTAGGGTTTAGGGTTCCGAACACGACCCTAAATCTTAAACCCCTAATCCCCTCTCCCCAGCACCCCCACGCCCCCCAAAGGACCTTTGCAGGACCCTAGCGCGCCAGCTTGATCTTGGAAGCCTGGAAGCGAAACCAGAACGCCTCGGGGTAAAGGGTGAATAAGGGTAGTTCTTTAAATTAGGGTCCCTTTTTAGGTCCCCAATCTAGTACGGCACCCTTATAAAAGCACCCCAAAAGGTACCCTAATTTAAAGAACTACCCATAAGGCTTTGGTCGTTTAGCATCGGTTTTCCTTAAGGTTTGGGTTTAGGCTTTGGGTTAGGCTGTTGTTTACCGCGCAGAATGGAAGCAATGTTAACGTCTGAAGAGATCCGCTTTACGCGTCTTGGGATGATATTATCCCCCATAGAACGGCAACTTTGCACCTTTCTGGGCTTCAGAACTCAGCAACAACGTTCTACTACGGTTGATGGTAGACGCAAGACTTGTTTGGATTGGAGGCGGGCAATGCACGGCTTGAGGTTATTGTCTTCGGTCTTGAGACTTGAAATCAGAATTCATAGTGACTTTGTTGAAATCCCACTGGAGCTTGGTTGGGATAGTACCCTAGGCCTCCAACATTACACTTTCCTTGTATGTTCACAGCTCATCCTGTGTTTTTTTTGGTCTCCGACAAATGGGCTGCCCAAGTCGTTACAGGGACTTACGACCCACAGAAGCCCCAAACCCCAAATCCTGAACCCTGAACCCACAACCTAAACCCTAAACCTCTGAAACCGCAGACATAGTGGCCCTCATGGTAACCCTCGCAGCCGTTTGGCCATTAGGAGTTGCGCAACTCTCAGCTTCCACCAGCCTCCATCCTTGGCTTCACAAGAAAGCTTCAGCGTCATGGTGAAGGCAGGGAGGCCTCGTCGATACTGAGACCTAAACCCTAAATCCTAAGCCCCTAAACTCTAATGATTCCCGCCGGATTGTGGGTTTTTGGACCTGCAGACTTCGCCACCCTGGCCGTCTTCCAACCCAAAGGCCAAATCAAGGCCTAAAGGCAGAATGCTGATACGCTCCGATGGTGTTCTGATGCTGCATGTGGAAGCTCAAAGAGTGAGAACTACGACCACGAGAATACTATCAGCCAAGAATACGGAAGCAATGCGATGTCATGGCGATAAGCTGACCTTTCCACACCACCTTCTAAGACACTGTTCTGCATGTGGATACATACTAGCAGCATGCGATTGTGTAACGCGGCGCCCCACGATATACCACAGCATTCGGCATGGTTTTGTAGATATATGTACTTATCGCCCTTGGGAGCTTCATTGAATGGTTCATGCCTTGTCAGCTGGATATGTAGGGCCGCATGGCGACACGGAAAACGTCCCAGGCCATGCTCGGAGCTAGCGGGGGCCGAATTCCCTTACTTGGACAAGAAAAAGACAACAACAATAATGACAAGGTTCAACGAAAACACTAAAGAAATGTACCTTAACTTGCAAGCTGCTTCATAGTATGACCTAGAGTCTAAAATGTACTGGGGTTATGGCGTTTCAAGCAGGCCATGCTTTCACCAAGTACCCGCAAGCAGTCTGCAGGTTCTCTGCGTGCTCTACGAAGATCCTGCTGGAGGCTACCCTTTCGAGCTTGCTTCCAAGGTAGACAACAATGTCAGCCAGCAGGTCAGCAAGACTTCATGTGCATGTTGCATGCTTGTATGGGCTACATGATCTATGTCTATATATATATATATAGAGAGAGAGAGAGAGATGTATGTACGTACGTATGTACGTATGTATTTATGTATGTTCATTCACTTACTTAATCGCCTATCCTTTCTTTATGTATGCCTACATTTGTTCGGTCATATCTGCAAACATACTTTGAAGGGAGAGAGAGCGAGAAATACCGTATCTATGTAACCGGAAGAGGGTGATTTACAGCCACTCAGGTCGGCGGGTAGAGACTCTTGTATCTATAAACTGCTGGCAGGTATATGTATACGAGCTACTCATGGCTGCATACGTATCTAAGCATACGTCCACACACTTACATATTGCGGTATATGCTGATAGGCTTATAGATGCATGAATTTGCCTTGTCGGGCATGGTAACACAGACACACACAGAGACGCAGGCACACGTGCATGCATGCATGCATGCATAGATGCCGACATCAATTCACACGCACATTTGCTACATCATCAGATACTCCTAAGCTTACGAACCGACATGACTACATGCAGACCGCCCAGGCACATGCCTGCATGCATAGTGTTTGCACATACACACGATTTCGAGGAAACAAACAACAACTAGGAGAAGCGTGCTCTTAATTGTGCTTGTGGCGGGGAACTGGCTGAGGATATAAGCTCATTTTGCGGTGCCAATGCTCGAGGGTGTGGCATTCTAGACTCAAGACCTAGGCATTGGGAGTTTTTTGCTTAGCATGTCTTGTTCTGGGGGTTACATGTCGTTGCCAAGTCTTGTTGGGACTGCGATTCGTTGCACTAGGCTATCCGAGCACCTACTCTCGCGATGACATCCCCGTGATCAAGTCGTATCCAGGTGCTCTTGGCCGCACTGCTAGATGTGCATTACAACTCGGGGCGCTATCTATACGCAGTATAGGGGCCTTCATGATTACAATACCGTTCCCCGGTGATTCCTTCATAGAAGTGGGTAATTGTCAAAATTATGCTAAACAATAGGTGCCGTATTATAATAAGGACCCAAAAAGGGACCATAATTTTGACATCCACCCGAGTATACCAGAACCTACCTCAGCCCTTTTTCAAGTCCTCGCCTCCGGGGAGGTTTCGAAACGATCCCTCGAAGAACCCTCAAAGAAGTTCCTTTCAGCATGCCTTTAAGGGTTCTAAAAGGGTTGCTATAAGGGGTAAGGTATCCTTTCGTATAGGGTCCCAGATTAAATTAGATCTACTTCTTGGAACCTCCCCTGCGCGGGTCTGGGAACAGCCCCAACGCTGAGTCCCACCCTAAACCCTAAACCCTAAACCCTAAAACCCTAAACCCGAAAAGCCTAAACCCTAAACCCTAAAACCCTAAACCCTAAAACCCTAAACCCTAAAGCAGCATCCTAGTCTTCTCAGGCCTGAATCTGACAAACATGGTAGTTTCCGAAAACAAGGGGTACCTTATTTGGGGGTCCTTATAGTAAAGATCCTACTGTTTAGGGTACTATATTAGGGTCCCCCTATTTTCGGAAACTCCCACATACTCCCACTCTGCACAGCAGCACAACAGCCATCTGCAGCATCGAGTCTCCAAGACGGAGCATTGCAAATTTTGTTCATGGCATCCAGAACAGTCAATCAATCAACAGTGATAGAGCAATGGCAATAGCAGTAGCAGCACCGATGATGCAAAAATGAATGGTGACAACAGCAACAAGGACTTCCGTGCACTATGACAATATCGCACTAACGCTGTTTCGGATACGGACCGGCGCTACGACAGAATCCTAGGAGTGGTGGCCATGGAACCTCAAAACCGTAACCCTTCCGTACAAAGCCCTTCATCCGTGCATACTCCTCACAAGCCGAAGTAGCTTGTGGCCGGTCCATCACAATAAGTTTCAGGGTAGCCCTACTTGGAGGATCATGGGACTTAGTAAGTAGGGTTATAAGTCCCTTAATTGAGGTTATAAGTATAGTTACCCTAATTATAACCCTACGTACTAAGTCCCATGATCCTCCAAGTACACCCAAGACCCATTTTTGGATGTGGGGTGTTGGGCTCAGGACTCCAATCCACGGTTTTGAACTTGTCCTATTCTCATGTCTAACATACCGATCAGTATGACTGTTCCCGTTTAGGGTTTAGGGTTAAGTGCATGCTTATCCCGTTGAAATCGTACTCTGAATATTGGACGCCACTGAAGTCCTGCAGAAGAAGACTCTCAATATCAAACATTGTCGTCCCGTGCCCCCACGTGCACATCCTCACCCCAGGGGGTCAGAGCACGCCGACACCCTGTGGTGTAGACTTCGCCCCCGGACATCTTCTGGGATCAGCATCCTGCTTGCATTCCTCTCCGCCGGTTGCAGGTCTCTGGTTCAGCTTGAAGGGGAGTGTTCAGGGCTTCCTTTTTTGTTCTGGCCGGGCTTGAAGCTAAACCTAGTGATCCTTCTT